AGCCTAGGCGGGCATCGATCCGGGATTCACACCCCTGACCGTGCGTGTGATATGGTGCGCCACTTGCCACTACACCACCTCCGCCCTATAAATGAATGAAATGATTGAAATAACTATTAATTAATCAATAATTATGAAAAGCTACTTTTCCAGAAAAAACCCCATAAATAAGTGTAACAGAAGAGCTTGCGTTCATCTTTTTATCATGACGGGGTTCGCCCAAGTGGGCTATCACGTCCAACTACAGTCCACATCCCAGCCATGGAGGAGACGTGGTTGCGAACTTTCAGTTTCGTCTGTCGTAGCTGAGTATTTTGAACATCGGTACCGAGGTGAACGCGATGTGAATTAGCTATTGTCTATTCGTCTGCGCTCTCTTCCTAATTCGTGATCTGTGTCTCTATTGTCCTTCGCTCCTTTCTCAAAAGACTACCTTGACAGGAGAATGTTTTCCAAAAGACAACCGTGAGCCATGAAAATGGCAGCACGCGACCATCACTAAGGTGTCATCTATAGCCTTTCAAGGAGCCATGAAATGGCGGAGTAAAGTGATGGCGATGCGAGACAATCCCTACTAGTGATTGGGGTTGCTTCCTTAAACTTCCTACTCAACGTACTTAGCAAGTATTACCCTTTTGGGAGTAACATCCACTAAAAAAATAGTGTAAAAAGAGAAACCAGAAAAAATAGCAGAAAGTCTCGCGGTTCCAAACTAACCTTGGTCGCTTGATCGTTCATCAGAAAATCCGCTACCTTCAATCGAATTCGGTATGAAGCCATACGTTAACAGCTCTTCGTCGATTATGCCTTTCAGAGTGGAAGCCTTGAATTTCTATAGTTTACCGAAATCTGACTTTCTGAGACATTCCACTATTACTCACCTCTGTTTGTATCCATTCTTGGGCTACGGTAACCAGGCTGATCAATAGCCAAACGCTGGAACAAGTACTTCAAGTTCATACTTGGCTATATGCATTGTAGGGATACTTGTTTGTTTGAAAGCAAGTAGATAGGATGAGGAGATTTTTGGCATCACAACATTAGTGCAAAGGTTTAGTAATATTAAGCAACGCGTGGAATTGACGTGAATGACTTCCGTGAGTGACGGAATTTCCTCTGATTGACTGGAAATTCTGGCTGGGTGAATTAACTAATGGAAGACTCAGTTCACGGTAAGTTTGAGGTACCCTTTTAAAGTCGAAAAGCAGAAGTATTGGTTGTGAATAGTGCATCAGTGATGAAGGAAGCGAGAAAATTTCCGATTTTGCGAAAAATTGGGCACTTCAAAAATGGTGAAAATACAGGTTGTACGAGATTACCATGACGGAAATGACATGGGAGGGGTTTTTGGACGAGATTTCAGTTGCAACTGCCTCAGGAGCGGACTACATCAAACCAAAACTGTCCAGTATTGCCTCTTACTATCGCTATGGGTCGTAACAAATTATTGAACGTCCAACATGGGTTCCTTTGTGAATGTGCGCCTCCAATATGCCGGTGAAACTCGTCCGCGCAACACGTGGGACAATCTTTTTAATCTAGGCCATTTTCCGACCCGAAAGCGCCACATATGGTGTACGGGGGAGTGGGGGGGGGGCACAAATTCATCCTAATAGAACATCTGAGAAACCATTTCTCTTCACGAGCTGTGCCTTCAGAACTGGCCTTGAATTGGTCGAAATGTCAGGCGAAATAGATGTCTCACTATTAAAAAACCTGTTCGGCATAGAAGCATGATTTAATCATAGAAAAAATGCCCAGATTCCGTGAAAGGCTAACATTGAGGTTATTCTCTTTGATTATGAACGACAGTGTAAACGCTTGACTGTACTTTAAGCTAGAATTAGAAGCTAGAACGGCTAGAACTTTTTTTCATCATACAGCAAGAAAAAATTTGAAAAAAATCGATAGGATTAGAAGGCAAGTGATTGCTGCTGTATTTGATAATCAAATCAAGACGTAACTGATTAACGAAAAAGCCTTCTCCTTCATTCAATTCCTTGACTCTCAGAAGACTATCAAGCACTTGATTATCATTCAGATTCCTTGATATATACGGCCTAGACGCATCCAGGGATATTTTCAACAAGTTCCGTCAAATAGAAACTTCTATTCATTAAAAATTCAAAAAGTTGGCATGGACCGATTCCGAGTACTAACTCTACTTGAACCATCCGCCGCATCAGTCACCAAGTATATGCCTCAGTAGAGTTGAGTGAGATCTACGGCTCTCATCGAAAACCTAGTTAGGGAGGATTCTGTCAGAAAGTGAATGACTGCAACAAACTGGTTCAATTACTATAGATAAAATCAACTTTCGGAACATGGTATACCGACATGACTCCATCTCCCTTGATAGGTTGTTTCAGAATCGCAACCTGGGCAAGGCAACCACCCTATCTTTTCCGGATTATTCAACAGCAGCTTCCTTTCCAAAATCATCGAATTCCTTCATCAGTGTTTTCGAATTTTTTTAAAGAAAAAACCAAACTTGACCCATTTCCCTGTCGAAAGTGTTAGATGCAACAACTTCAAGACAGGACATTTATAAGTAATGTAGGCAAAGACACTCAAAATTACAATCAAGCCACTTGAGGAAAATGGTAAAAGGTGTAGAAGGTGATAAAGGTAAAGGGTTGTTTAAATATATGTATGAAAGAATAAATGTTCACTGTTAAATGTAATAGACGCCTACAACCCAATCTTTACGATAAGAGGATTCCTCGGTAATTTCATATAAACGGTGGTTTTGGAATTGTATTGGAAAGTTCATATTCTGAGCATTCTTCAACTCTGTCTCTAAGATCGTCTCCATAGGAAAGATCCCATAGAATAGAAATTCGAGAATTGAAAGAAAACTTTCAGAAAGATTTGATTTAAGGAAGCGAAAGCTTTGAGGAACTGGTGGCAAGACCCGGCAACATAAAATCAGTTCTAGGAAAGATATAGAAAATCTTCGAACCAATCCTACCGGAAATCAAGTAAGAGACCCTATGAGGGGCAAACTCACATACAAATAAGAACTAATTACTTATTTACGAAAACAAATCTAGATAAACTAAGCAGGTAAAGGCATAGCGGCATGTCGCAACGGAAGGACAGGGCAAAAATGCCCACGGCAGGGGTTTTATGGATCCGTTCGATCACATCGATGAGGTGGTCAGAATTTATGATCTACAGAAGCACCCATACACGAAAACTTCATGAAATCATGGGAAAAAGAGATAGGCTGACTTCGAATCACAGTGTTTACTTGTTGATTATCAGCACGGATAGATTTCGGCACACTACCTTAATGTTTTAGTACTTAATACTATACTTCAAATAAGCCACTTTATTTACTATTCAATTTGCATATTTTTCCATGTTATAACCACCATTTGTTTATTTACTTTAGTTTTGTTATTATTAAATGTTTATCCTATTTCATTGTATAAGATCGGGTCTACATTAAGGGAGGTATAGGGCAATATTGTTTTGTAGGAGTTATTATGTAAGGAAGGGAGAGCTGGGGAAGCGGTAGATGAGGAGAAGGGGATAATAATACTCTCCCAGCATTTCCTTCTGGGAATTTTCGGTAATCCTGCTCAATCCCATCGACGCAATAACTCTAAAGTTTCTGTCTGAAATTATGGTCCCCATCTGCCTGAATTAGAATAGGGCCCCAAGGATCGGAAAGCGCATCAAAGTCGCTTTGAGTAGAGACGTAGAGCGCACTCACGAGGTGAAATGATATCCACAATATTCTAAGATAAATCTATGGAAATATTTCTTAGTTACAACTGTCCTATTGGGACAATAACTTAGGACTGTAATTTCTAAAGCTGCTCTTATCACTGCACCAACGACACAACGCTTAGTTCCAACATATTTCAATAAGGCCTCTAGCGAAGCTTATAATAGCGAAAAAAGTCGATGATGTAGACCCTTTAGGAAGGCCAAGTCTCTAAGAATCGGCAAAAAACCAACCTCATGTTAATAAAGTAGATAGAACAGCTGTTTAGCTGCTTACCCGATTTGGGGCGGTCCAGTCAAGAAAGCTAACTGCACTACAAGACGGTTCTTATGAGCTCATGAGATCCTGTTCTGGATGGCAGGTGAAACGAAAACGTCATGTGAAACGCGGAACTAATGGCTTTGATCTCGTTCGAGATGTCATAATCCGTCGAACAGTGGCAGGATTCCAGCCGAATACAGTACTGGAACAACAAATAGTAGTGATCTATTAGGTCTGCTTCGCTAGGTTTATGTGTTGCACCAGAGCAACTGCTATGGAAATCATACCATCCATTTAAAAAGGGGGGTAGAGTGGAGAATGCATGGCCCGGGAATTTAATTTGGGCCGATCCGCACAAACCAATCAAGCCCTCCATCCTTCGGGGTCGGCAAATCCTTACCAGACTCGTCTGGGAGGATAATAGCACCGATTTCGGAAGAGCATAGCAAGACATTGTATGGGCCACATACACCTTCAAATCACAACTACGGTTCTGAATTTAAGTCAATGCGAGGCGCATCACAGAAAGGAACTTTTTAGCGCCGTATGACTTACTCCTTTGTGTAAAGCTGTCAACCTGAAGAACAATCCTAGCTATGGAAATCCGTTAACAAATACCATCTAATCACAGGAGCTTTTCCGAATGAAAACGAAGTGCATGGCGCAATCAAAAAGTAGTCGATCGATCTCACACGTCTTCTTTATATTATTTTTGTGTGTTATCTTTGAATATTTATTAACATTAACAAAAAAGGTTATTGTTACGTAACGTAAACAATCATTGCATAGCTTCCAAAGAGATCAGGATCAGTTCCACAGCAATACTATTATGTACAAAATCGATAACTGCTTAAACTTATCAAATAGTTAATCAATCAATCAATCAATCAATCAATTAACAAATTGACTGTATCAAAAAATTGGACAATATCCAGAACTGATCAGAAAGACGATAGAAACCCCTTGGGTTTTGCATCATGCGTTGTGCCGACTCCTTGTGCGTTGTGTGCCTTATCCTTTGAATCGGTAAATGATTTCGATCGTTGTTTATTCATTGTGTACTCATAACGTGGTGTGACTGCTGGTCCCACAACGATCTGTAATGGTAATCAGTAGCAATTTACGAAACGCATCGAATGACATCATTAATGTGATGACGTAGCAAGCAGTGGTGCCGAATCGCAACAACACTGCCCACGAGATCAGTTCTCGTTCATGCCAATCCAGTTCATCGCTTTCGAACGGGGTGCAACTGGTGCAAGCGATCGGCTAGGAGGATGGAAAATCACAGCTCAAATCGCAACCTGCCTAAGGAATTTATTATGCATTAGCGAAATGTCATTAACAGTGTTGAAGCTTGAAAATTGCGGCATAGCCCATTCTTAAGGGGCAGGAGATTTCCCGGTGGATATGGCCCTTTGGGAAAAGATGTTAGTAGTGTGTGATGGTAGTACAGGTACGTGACCGTTACTGCAACACTCATTACTGGCTCAAAAAAAAGCTGAGTGATCAAAACAGGGCAATGGAATACAGTGGGCGGAGCTGACCATAGTGGGCGGGATAGTCGCAACGGCGATGAACGACTATACTACTTTCTGTAATAGAACTCAGATGCTCCCATTGACAGTGTAAGTGAAAGCATATGCTATTCTGAAGGTAAAATATCCAGCTCAAGATAGAATGGGTTCTTCCAGACACTTCTCAATACTTTCGAAGGATGCCCCATGTAACAGCCTCCCAATCACTATCAAAAGCTTGATTTTTTTTTTGTTTTTTCACTATTCTCTTTTTTGTAAAGGCTACTAGACTTATTGGTCAGCCTCTGATAGAAAAAAATAGATGAAGTAAAAAAAANNNAAAAAAAAGAAAAGGAAAGATGCAGTGGAAAGGATAAGAGAGAAAAAAAAGGAGTAGAATATGGTTATTCATAGGAAAGCGGATGCGTTGCGATATATTAACTAATGACCATTTCCCTGTGATTTTCATGGGAAAAACGATCTCTTTGGTCTTACCAAAGGTTGATTCATACGTCGCTTTCTTAACACCATTTACACCGACCGAAGGATGGGTTATCGAAGCGATCGATCACCACATGGCGCGCCCTGTAAGATGCATTGCACTATTCATTCCCCTTTTATACTAATCCACAAACTTTAGCTGTCTGTTAACGAGTTCCTATAATCAGGCATCATGAACTTTCCCTGCAACGCACAGTGCTTCCTTATGATGCGCCATGCACTTAACCGCTGTTGGAAATCGCAGCGCTGCTTGGATGTGCATGCGGCGAGTACGAAAACTAGTGAGGAGGACAAGGAATGACAGCTGTCTAGCTTTAGTCTTTGCTCAAATACGCTTGTATAGACGGCCTATTCGGTCTCGAAGCCTGTACCAGCATCTTTTAGTGAGAAACTTATAAAAAACCTTATGAAGCTCAGAATTGTACCTTTCGCTTGATCGAATTTTTCCTCTTCTCGGCATCGCTTTTTTGTGTGACCAAAGGCGGCCGTGAGTTTTCTTCAGTGACGGACATAGCTGTAACTGAATACATTTTATTGTACACCGTTAGTTAGGCTGTGTTCACAACTCTACTCACGAAACTGAATAGATAAGCATCGATTAGGAATGTCGGAGAATAGGAGAATCGGAACGTGAGAGACTACTCGAAAAGGACAATATAGGATGTAAACATGTAAGAGGGATATAGAGAATGTAACGAGATAACGAGAACACTGGAGCGATACCTTTTAACGATCCTAAGAATTATCTGAACCATAAAGTCACAGTGGGCGTTTTCGTAGTAATTGTTTTCCCCTTGGACAGATGTGATAGGGGTTTGCAAAGGACTGTTACTCGATGATTCTACTACTTCCCTGCCCCCTTTTTGCAGAAGTGTATAGAGACAAAGAAAAGCTTACCAGGGCCGACCAGGGTCTTGGCCGTTGAAACCAATAGGCAAAGGACAGATAAAGCAACTTCCCGAAAGAAAGGCCTCTCGGGGCCCATCTGATACCGAAAACTGATCGACAAAGCCAAAGATAGTGCCCACGTAAATCTTAGTATTCCACTGAAAAGGGCGAGCGGGCACTATCAAGCTTACCAGGCATTTGAAAGCTGCTGACTATTGTTCTGCATTTTACAGACCAAACAAAAAAGAAGTGAACAGGTCATATTTGGTATACTACCGTATATTTGACAAGGTGTCATGAAATTCAATAAAAATTTGTGAGAGAAACAGAGGAAAACGACCAGAAGCTAACTATGACTGAAGGAGAACACCGCCACCAGAGGGGTGGCTGAAGAGTCTGTTTACCCACAGGAAAACAAAGAGTAGGACGAGGCCCGCTACGGTTCTATGATTAAGTTGACTTTTAGGGCTGTTGAAGCTTATCGCACCAGTGTGCTCGCTATCTCACTAAGACCCCCGTGACCAACACCCCGACAAGAAGAGCTTGTTTGGAGTGGAGGCTCAGACAGTTCATTAAGGTGTGGCTTTACGACTGTATTGATAACAACTGCTACTTCTGGGTATGGTAGCGATCTTTGTCCAATTAAATCCCTTGATATCAATCAGAAGGTACAGACCACTGGAAACAGAAATGAAACTGATTGGAAACGATCAACGGGAGAGTTCCTATGATATATGTCCGTGATAGAAACGATAGGTCGTTTCCGGTGGTTTTTGTTTCAATTCAACTGGAAGGAAATGATTCATTGACGACCTTCAATCTCAGACCACCGTCCATTCGAGGTCAAGAAGAAGAAAAATGAGAACTTCGATAGAAATCGGAATTACTTAAGTACTCATATTACTTACTCAACAAATGAAAATTTGAGAAAAGTCAAGTGCATGGCGCAGGGACGCAAAGACGTGCACTTATGCATCAAAGCAAATCTGATTATCGCCTTTGCCAAATTCAAAATCTTTGAAAATCGGGGAAAGGCCCTCTCACAAACGGAAGAGGATTGTTATGCACACCCTCTGGTGTAACCCATAACCCAGATCAGGTAACATATGGTTATTCCCGGGATCACTAGAGACATCTAACTTGTCTCCTTTCTGTGCATAGCATTAAAGGGTTGGCTCATACAGAGAAAGAAAATTATTTATCCCTTCAGCTTCAAAAAGCGCGAATTTAAGTTCTGATTTAGTGGCAACCCCGCCTTTCCGACACAACTCCGCCCCGAAAGAGTCCCAAGCAACAGAAATAGCGCAACGAAAGGGAAAAAAGTAAAAAAGGAAATTTAAATAAACTAGATCTCAAAACTGAGAAGGATAATGATCATACAATGAGAATCTTGCCAAATGAATATCCATTACGATTATGCCTGAGTCGTGGCAAGTCTATCAAGCCTTCCGCCTCGACCAGATCGATCAGTAGACACCAGAATGGCCAAGCAGCCTAATGGAGTATCAGAGGCGTGGGGTAAGCGGACAGGACTGACTGGTAATGATTCTTTTTATTCTTTCCTTTATTTTTTGTTGCATTTTTTACAATCGTACCTGTTACTCTGAACTCTTTGATCCAATCGCTCGATCGCCTCGATCACCCTTCGTTGATCGTACCGGATCGAAGGCATCATCTCGATTGATTGATTCCATCACTGCAAAACGATAGTGTCAGGTTGACAAAAAGAAAAGCTGCCGACTGAACAGTTGTACTTGTTGCCTAACAGAGCAACCCGAATGAAGACTTGAAATAGGAAAATGAGAAAAAGGAGGAAAAAATGAAATCGATGTAATTACGAAATGAAATAAATTGAAGTTCATGAGGAAAAGATAAAAGATACCAGAGCCAAAAAACTCAGTAAACAAGCATTAATACAGTACAAAGGGCTATTCGAAATCAGCTTTCTGTGCTAATTCCTCATAAACGTTCTCTTTTTCCTTAATGAGCCCCTTTTTATTTCATTTCTTTTCATTGTTCGTTCCTTTTTCTATAGAATTGGTTTGGTGGCGGGTCTTTCAACTGTATTACACTAATGAATGAATTAATCTTGTCTTAAGTCTGTAAACAAATAAATAAATAAGTAAATAAATAAATAGGTACTTTGATACATAGTTCATCCAATTTGTTTGATAGATAGGAGATTCGCCCTATTTCTTTGTTCATAAAATTACCCCAGATAATATTTCTCTCAGTATGCGCCACGTACCTGAAATGGACCATGAAAGTAATAGTTTTTGAAGCCGTATTTCGCGAATGCTATGATCGGAAAGGTTCAAAAATTCCACAAAGGTATGTCATCAAATAGCCCACTTAATTGTCTTAGACCATTTCGTAATAGGAAGTACTTGTTTAGTCCGAATAGTAGTGTTCTAACTGGATGAATGAAAACGTTTGTACAAGTGTTTTTAATGGAAAAAATTCAAGCACAAGTAGGAGCCCGATACCATTTTGAGAAGAAAACAGTTTGTCCTTGAGTTTCGCAGATTCATTTAAACGGACCATTGTATGTATGGCCCATAACCTACGTCCAATAAAGCACCCGAAGTACATTATCATGCCTACACATTAGCTGATTCAAATTAAAGGTTAGGTTCCAGAACGAAAGTTTCCATACAACTAGAAGACCTAGAAGGCAGCAATTCAATCGCCAATCTGCAGAAATCACAAGTTTCTTCTGATTTCTGTCATCCCAGTGGCAACATGGCGTGCAGGTGACTAAGCACTACTGAGAAATGACGCAAGTCACCTACAGTAGTTTGCTGTTTAGTCATGATAACTCGTCAACTACGCAATCAGGCCAGTTTGACGTTTCTCTGGGATTAGACCGATGGAATGTATGCTAATTTTAGACGCTATTAGATAAGAAATACTCCAACGCAGCAATAACAGCATGTCTGACCGTCAATTTTCTATCGTAGGCGTTCATCAATCTCATAAAAATACAGTATCCGTTACGAGAAGAGTAAAAAGGCTCCCACGGTCCCAGGGGGTTCTCAAATGTCGGGAAGGGTGCTTTTCTAACTTTACCATACATATTTGGCATAATGAAGGCAGAGGTGGTGTAGTGGCAAGTGGCGCATTATCACACATGGACGGTCACGGACGGATTCGAA